GCATCTTCCTGGTTATCAGTATTGTGGTCCGGGAACGAAATTATCGAAGCGTCTAGCTAGAGGTGACCCAGGAATCAATCCGTTTGATACCGCGTGTAAAGAACACGACATTGCTTACGTCAAGAATTCTCATATCGCAGCTCGGCACGAAGCAGATAGAATGCTCGCAGATGGAGCCTAGCAGAGAGTTAAAGCTAAGGACGCTAAGTTGAGTGAGAAAATAGCGGCTTGGGGAGTAACAAATATTATGAAGTCTAAAAGGAAGTTGGGAATGGGTATGAAGAAAACACTCAAATCATGGAAATCTAATGGGTTGAATAAGCGGAGTACGACCACTTTGAAAAAAATCATCAATGCTGCAAAACTATCAATGAAAACTGCGCCTAATAATCCAGTCAAGGGAGCTCTCAAAGGAGCACGTGATGCCGTCAAAAAAGCTGGTGGGAAAAAAAAATAAAGTCCCCCAAGGTATTACCGATACCGACAAAAGTTGGGGGCTTTTTACCTGCATTTTTGATACCGCTCTTTGCAGGTTTAAGTGCTACAGACGCCCTCGCAGGTGGCGCTACAGGCATAGCAAAAGCGGTCAATGATGCCAAGGCCGCAAAAAATGATCTTGAGGAAAAAAAACGACACAATGCTGCTATGGAAAGGATTGCTCTAGGTGGGCGATTACACTTAAAACACAACAACAAGAGTTTAGCACTTCATCTTACCCCATATTTAAAAAACGATTGAGGCTACCAAACCGAGCTCTAACCAATTTCGATTTGTTAAAGTATGTTAAAATGATGGAAATTCCTCATTTTCGAGGAGTATTTATGAGAAATGACCTACCCAAACGTGGCCCATGGAAAAACGAATCAGCTATTGTAAATTTGGATGAGAAGGATGGACCATGAACTCACTGGGTCGCATATAAAAATATTGGTCATGAAATAATATATTTCGATAGTTTTGGTAATTTGAAACCTCTACTTGATCTAACTAAATATTTCGGTGTTGGTAGCCCAATCAAGTACAATCATGAACGATATCAAGAATATGATACGATAATCTGCGGACATTTGTCTGGACTTTTTGAGTAATCAGTTATAAAGAGTGTTGATGGTGAGAAAGGTTATCAGTCAACAATGATGTCTGATTCATTCACGTTAACTCTGTCAGGCGTGTCATCGGTGTTGGAAGCTCATTACCTTTCCACCTATTGAGCTATCGACTTCGAAAAATTATTCAATTGGGCTTATCGAATTGCTCACATTCAATTCTATTCCTAATATTGATGAGAGAGGAAATAAATTTTATATAGGAAAAGAGGAAATTACAATACCCGCCGGAAGCTACGAAATTGAGGATATTTCTGAGTATTTTAAGGGAATTGTAAAGGATAAGAACATCTCTTTGGTTCTTAAACCTAATAACAGTACGCTATGGAGTGAAATCGAGTCTAATGAGGAAATAGATTTCACTCCTAGTGATAGTATTAGTCATGTCTTAGGATTTACTCAGAGGAGGCTTGCTGCTAATGTTTTGCATAAATCTGATCTACCAGTTGCAATTTTATCGATAAATTCAATACGAGTCGAGTGCAACGGGTCTACTGGCGCTTACATCAATGAGCAGAAAGTTCACGCCATTCATGAGTTTTTCCCTGCTGTTCCACCAGGATATAAGATTATTGAAAAGCCAACTACGATCATTTATCTGCCAATCGCGGTACAGGCAATAGAGCATCTCCAGGTACGCCTCGTTGATCAAAGTGGTGAGCTTGTCAATTTTCGAGGAGAAATAATCACAATACGATTGCATGTCAAATCATAATGGGAATCGTATTTCATTCTAAAATCGGAAAGTCATATAAAAAGGTTGGACCATGTCTGAAAACTAACAGTCGTCAACTTCCTTCGACGAGAGTAACACAGCAGAATCTTCAATTTCATGCGAACCTGGGACTTCAAGTGGTCGCTGGAGGGAAAAAGATGACGGGAAGAAGAACAAAAAAAGGAAAATCAAAAAAACAAAGATCAATTTCTGTTGTATTATCATCTACCTACATTATAGAAGGAATCTTATGTGTTCAAAAACCTATGATTTTTGATGAATCGATAGCACATTATGAAATTCATGCACACCATCCATTTGCATCAAGTACATTCAAAAATAATGATGAAATTCGGATCGTGATTCAAAACCAAGATTTGTGTACTACCAAGCAAGAGTTCACGTCACATCCATGGTAAATTGACCAAGCCCGATGGAGCAGCAATTGAAAATGTTAAATTCGTCAACAATACCATCTGTCACTTGTTTGAAGAAATACGTTATGAGATAAATGCGATCGAAATTGATCGATATAAAAATGTTGGTATTACAACGCTCATGAAAAATTATATTTCACATAGCCTAACTCAAATATCTCTGATGGAGAATCCTGAATGGATGAAAATGAGTGATGAATCTACGATTACAAATGCAGCTGGTTACTTCGATATTTCCATTCCCTTAAGCTTCATCCTAGGATTTTCTGAAGATTATCAACGAATTATTGTTAATGTTAAACACGAATTGATTCTCATTAGATCAAATACAGACTTAAATTTTATAATAGCAATGGCTAATGCTGCCCAATTCAAAATCGACTTGATGAAGATTGAATGGATGGTGCCTTATGTTCGAGTTTCCGATCGAAAGAAGATCGAATTATTGGATTTCATAGAAAAAGATATACCTCTTCCTATGGGTTTCCGCTCCTGGGAAACATATGAATATCCGATTCTTCCATCAACTACGAAGCATATTTGGGTGGTTAAGACATCTAATCAACTTGAGAAACCAAGATATGTTATCATAGGTTTTCAGACAGCGAGAAAGAATACAAATATGAAGAATGCAAGTGAATTCGATCAATGTTCTTTACGTGATGTGAAGTTATTCCTAAATTCAGAGAGTTACCCGTATGGTAATTTAAATATTGACTTTACGAAAAATCAATATGCGTTACTTTATGATATGTATATGAATTTCCAAAGCTCATACTATGGAAAAGATCTTGAGCCTTTATTAAATAGAGCGGATTGTGCTAATCATGTACCCATCATTGTCATTGATTATTCGAAGCAGAATGAATCCTTAAAATCAGGACCTGTTGATGTGAGAATGGAGTTCGAATTATCGACTCCTGCTGCTCCAAATACTTCCGCTTATTGTTTAATTTTACATGATCGTATTGTTGAATATAGACCCCTCACTGGAACTGTGAGGAAATTAATGTAATGATTGCTATGAAAATTTTTGGTTCACTAATAAAACGCATTGAAATTGAATTTTGTTTGTATGCGTTGAAATTTATTCTTCATAACCATGATATATTAAATACATTTCCATCGTCTTCTACTTCCTTCACTTCTTATAACTTTCCATCAAATTTTATCCGATCGTCTTCTTTAATCTACTCATTCTCACGATTCTGCAGAACTGTTGCTAAATTCACATAAAATTGTAGTAAATCCAAAACGAATTGGAGAATGAATTCAGGTTCGTCTTACCCAAAATATTTGGCAACTATATCAGATACCTCACATGCGAATGGGGGCGCACAGCACAAGAACTTGATTTCTTCTGGTGTCAAACCGTTCATATTGGAGACGAGGCGTCCAACGTTATTGATGTGAAACGTTCAGAATAAATTCGATAACGATGCGAAGATGTGAGCACTTTGCTCAGAACTGAGCTGATCGAATCAATTTTGCGATGAAATCGGTTCCGATCTCGTGCACATTGCTCCCACGGTCCTTTGCGTGCAGCTCGATAAGCGAACTGCCATGTAACCAATGGGTGAATTTTCAAATCATCGTTGAAACTTACTGAAGGGTGTGCTATTGATTCCATAATTTCAACCGGTAAGGTAGAGCCCGTGATAAGTATATCTTGTGAGTTCGAGCAATTTCTAGATACTCCTATTTTCATGAGAAAAGTATGACACTTTATAGCGGATCGAGCATTTAGGACCCCCCACCTTCGAACCCCCCACCTTCGAACCCCCCACCTTCGGACCCCACCACTGGTCTGGCCAAAGCCCCACCCCTTTGATCCAGAACCGGTCTAGAGTATCTACTCACACCATCGCAACACACAGCGGGGATAAACAAACAGATACCACTCCAAACGCTCACGATCGTCTCAACACATCAGCAACCTGGAGAGCAGCTCACGCCTAGCAGAAGCTAGGGTGACGCAGTCACCTCCAACATAGAATTTTTTTTTAGCACAAGCTCAACCGTGATGAACGTATTAATTTTTTGTTTAATGTTTCAGTTTAGAAAAACTGCGTTTTTCACTAAGAAGGGGAGCCATGTAGCGCCTCGCTACATCCACACTCACGTGTCAATACACGGACACAACAATGCGTGCAGTTCAGATGACTGGACATCAGTGACATCATCGCTCTCTGTCACTCAACCGTCTAATGTATACTTCTCAGTCGCGCCTATTGTATTCGTATCCGAATTCTCGCCTTTTGCGAATATTATATTCAGTCCAGCACCGACCGCGGAATACTCAGGAGTGAACACCTACTCCTTACATTATCTATCTTCACTTTTTGTATATAGTCTACGTCTTGTAAATATACTGTGATTGTTTTATAACTATCTCATTTGTTAGTGAATCGTTACATCCCTCAACAACCTCGATTCCTACAGGGGCACCCCGTCAAGCCCCGGTCTCCCCTCATTAAATTTGTAATTTTTTACTCCTCATATAAATATGAAAATTATTCAGGACATAGATAATCTCTCCAATATCAAATGTACAAAATCTCGAAGGCCTCAGTCAATTATTTGACTGCTAAATGACCCTTCGAAAATTCGTCGATTAACTGAAGGATATCGTTTGTTTTTAACAAGGAATTCTGAGCACTAATAATGACATTTCCGAGGATTTATAAATATTGTAGTGACATCTAATGAAATGAAGGTACAATCTATGGTATACTGGTTTAAAGTAATATTTATTGATCATTAATTTGGAGACAGGTATACAGGTATGGTACATAGAGCGCACGACTTTTCTTCGAAATTTTATAATTTTCAGAAAAAATGAATCGATTAATATCCTCCATAATCCACAGTCAAATAATGAAAGTACATTCCCAGAAAATTTGGACTTTTTGTGTGCGTATTTCCAGGAAAATTATAATGACGTCATATTTCAAGAGTAGTTTGATAGCGACTGTTTTTATTCCTGCTATACTCGCTGATGCGATAACGAACTTACGGTCAATTACCAGTTTCAAATAGACATTTTTAACAATCTGTAATTTACATTTTTCAGTTATTTCCCCATCTTTGGCCATTTCTAATCCATTACTTTTTATTCCAATTATAATTGATTAATGAATATGTCTATCATTGAATAATGTAAGAAGAATTATTCAAATTGTAAAAATTAATTAAATGCGTTAAGTAGTTTACAGCTTCCATAGATAAATAATCCTCTTTTAAAAATAAACAATTTATAAAAACTTAGCCAATGTAGTTTTTTTTAAATTTGACTCAAATTATTCTCTCATATTGTTGTCCACTACGAACAAGTGAAATGTATCTAGGCAAGAGTGAAAATTTACTATGCAATCTAACAATTTGTGCCTCAATCTTCAAAGTGCATTTGGCAATTAACCTCTACTTCCTATAGAGAGACATCAAGTTTGGACACATTCTATAATAAGTATACATAATTTATGGGGAGCGCCAAACTGTTACAATGAATTCTAGAGAGCAATCGTTCATGCGGAATGGAAAGAGTCGTGAAAGTAAAAATTTCGCAGGGTTGTTTTTTTAGTTTTTTTCATTTACTTTTTTTTTTCTGAGGATACAATAAGTAGTTAATGCATTTACGCCTGATCTGATCGACGCCTTCGTCCCGGGCCGCCAGCGTAATTCGCTGCTGCCATTCCCATTAGATGTTTTGCTGCCTGGGCACCGCTGAAGCCACGGTTTAATCCAAAGTCGAGGCCGAAACCACCCCGCTTCTCACTGAAAACATTCATATTGCATCGTTAAAATGATTTTCCATCAAGGTAATATTGTTGGGGTCTTCACAGAGAAACAAAGTGGATCAGCTTTAGAGAAAAGTTTCTAAATTTTAGAAACCATGGTTTCTAAACTTCACTTTGCTGAAATCTAGAAGCTTTTTTCCAAGTTTCATATACCTGCGATGTACAGGTGGGGGGTGCTATCCGGGGATATCATATATGGTGGGAACTATGAAAGGGTAGTTTCATCACTCGGGAGAGGGTTGTACTTCTATAGCTATGGGTGTAACAGAGTGTAACAGGGAGGATTCATATGAGGGGGTCTTATATATATGGGAGGGTTGTGAAGAGGGTTGTGGGGGAGGTCGCAAAGAGCATGGTTTCGTAAAAGGGGATTTTGTGGAAGAGTAGTTTTGTAAAAAGAAGTGTTTTGGGGGGAATTGACTGATCAGAAGGCGAGACCCTCATATGGTCGGACCTTTATTTTTTTACCCTTATTCGACCATTATTTTCTCTGACCCTTATACTTTCCGACCCTTTTACATTTTCGGGTGAAACAAAATGAGAATCCGAGAAATGAGGGTCGGAAAAAATAATGGTCCCAGAATATAATTGTCAGAACATATACAAGTCACCGACAGGGATCAGAACAATCATCAATTTCAAAATAAAATAAATTTAGCTTCTGTTAACTGATAATATTACCCAACAATTTTCAATTACCAAATTAATCATTAGTCGAATATTCAAATTCCTAAATAATCTATCAACCAGTAATCGCGTCAGAAGTTTGACCATTACATGTCTAATTGAAAAATCCTTTTATGAAATTTGGAATGATTTACGCAATAGTTAATAGGAAATTTAAAGTAAGATGATAAAATCATAGTAATATAAAGGTCCAAATTCTGATAATTTTACAAAATATTACAAATTGAATGATTGTTGACTAATCGCTGGTCACAGAAAATGAGGGTAAAAAAATAAGGGTGAGAAAATATAAGGGCAGTCTTGACTCTCGTCTCGTTTCCCCTATATGAATCCCTCCTCCCATATATCAACCGCCCATATACTAACCTCCCATATATAAAACCGTTATGCATACCCCCCCCCCCTATATATAAAATCCTTGTTAACTCAATTTTCTTATATAAACCCCCTTCATATATGAGGGCCTCCATATATAAAACTACTCCCATGTATAAAGACCCCTTACACGAGCCCCCTCCCATAAATGAAATCGCCCATAGAAACCTATCGTCACAATTAATAAAGCCCGCTTTTAAAAATCCCAATAGATGAAACCCCCCTCCTCACATCGGAATCTCCTCATGTTTGGGCACCTTTATATATCTCGGCCGCGATTTTTGAAGCTGATCGGAAAATTTCCTGAAATTAACAAAAATTTAGCATTGATTTGAGAAAATATTTGTTTTTAAAAACAACCCCCAAATTCGTTAGTTTTCATCATCCTACTACAGATGAAGGGTAATGACAGGAGTTTCTAGAATTTAATTTCGACACAAGTGCGACGGCACTCGGCTTTGCCTCGGGCCGCCAACTTCACACTCGTTACCACCCCGTCGCACGTGTATTCGAACTATATTTTTCGTTAGTGATGTTACGTTCAGCGAGTGCCGAACTGTGCCATTTTTCTTTTCGTTTACAAGTTTCGACTTTTCATTTACTAGTAAACGAAAAGGCACTTTTCGACACGGGCTGAACGTAGCAGCAGTGACAAAATTAGTATATTTTGTTACGAGTGCGGAAAAGTGTTTTTTGGGTCGTGGGAGGTTTCTAGCACGACCCGAAGGCGAGTGATATAATCCCACGAGTCAAAAAACACTTCTCCCACGAGTATCGAACGATATTTTTCATCACAATGTGTTGAAAAGTTACTTTTTCGCACAGCGTGATGAAATAGTATATTTCGTAACGAGTGCAAAAAAGTGTTTTTTGGCGAGTGGGAGGTTTATATCACGAGCTAAAGGCGAGTGATATTATCCCACGAGCTGAAAAACATTTTTTCACGAGTTACGAACAATATTTTTCATCACAATGTGGCGGAAATTGGACTTTTAGGCACGCGGAGCGTGCCAAAAAATTCACTTTTCGTCACAGCGTGATGAAAAAACTATTATCTAAAACTAATTCATTTTTTCTCTCTGTGGTGGATTTATTATGATGAATCAATATGGGAGTACATTTATTTTATTTTTATTCAAGTAGTATAAACAAACTCCAGTTGAGTCGTTGAATACTGTGAGGAAAAATGAGTAAAAAATGTCTGAAAAAAACTATTAATCATCAATAATGAAACGGATTCGTTGATCATATGAATCATAGCTTTGATGATTGCAAGAATTATCAAAGCGATTAGATGATTAATGTTTTCATTATTTTTCTCTTAATCCTGAAAAGAAATCGAACGAACAATATAGAGGATATTCCATGCCAACTTCACTTTCAGATTCGGTTGGCAATTTTCGATTCATCCTGAAAGCTAGAAAACGCCCCACGTTATCAATCAGAAAAATTCACAAAATTGAAAAAAAGACAATATTTTAAAGTCAATTACAAGATGGAAAATTCAATAGGTAGTTCATTCGCTGAAAATTTGGATTATGTATTTTTTGGGTCGCTGCATCTGAATCCGACGATAGTTTCAGTCAGTTATGATTTTATAACTGTTTAAATCGATTTTCCAGGAAAATGGCTAAAGATATAAAAAGAAGCTTCTCAAAACGAAGATTCCTTGAGAAAAACTGAACTTTCGTCTTCTGACTTTTTTTCATAGTTTCATCATTTACGGAGATATTTGAATATTTATGAGGAACAACGTGGTTGGGGGATTTCTCTAGTGCAGGATACAGGCCAGTTGCGCATCTCTCTATGTGTAGGTAATTGTTGGCATGTTTTGTACCTACGTGGATTTCTCATCATCCCGGTTTGGTATTAACCCCCTAAAATGAAAAGAGTAGTAAGACCTAGTAAGACCCCGAGAGTAGGGAAGGACCATTCAGCGCGCGATACGCTACGAACGCGGACTCAGACGCATTCGATTTCAGTCGGATCTAGGGCTCAGTGCCATAACCAGCGGTCATTGCGGGGGCTTGAGGGTCCGTATGAATTTACTCAATGGTTTTTTTTTATTCATCTAGGCAAAGTAATTTCCAGTCCGAGGATAGAGTCTTTAGATGATTATAAATTTCATTAAACTGTTTTTGAAGTATTTAGGATGGTATTTGGAATTAATGTTCAGTGATAGTTTCAGGGCCACGTGGTTATTCAGAGTGGTGTTCGATTGAATTTTTCATATCTCTGGAATGCGTTGAAGGGTATCAGGCAAAATGATTTAGTCAAGTGGTGAGAAGTTCAGGAGTTTCAGTAATGATTTTTATGTCAGGAGGCTGAAGGAAATGGTGTGAGAGCTCTATTAAATTAATCAGATTTCTAGTGGTAATGCTTTGGGGATCACTGGAAAATAATGAACAACATAGTGCAATCAATCATTAATTTATTCAATGCTTGATAATTGAAAAAATTATAAAAAAATATGAAAATAAATTCGTCCGCGAAAAAAACTTATCATTTCTAACCAAACAGACCTCGTGTTGTCGCAAAAAAAAACAAATCCCCCTGCAAAACGAAGAAAGTCTCCCCGGAAAAATGTCCAATCCCATCCAAGAGAGGTCGATCTCCATAACATCAAAACATAAAAAGATCCCTTGGGTGAATAAAAGAAAAACAAAACACGATTATGAGAGGGATTCCTCGGGATGCCCTTTTGACGAATCAGTATCCATACCTAATAATGGCAATGGGAGCGACAAAACTGAGTGATCCACATCCATCCAGCATCACCCTATCCACGATTTTTCTGACTGCCCAGATCCTCAACAGACTCTTCCCCAAAACAGTGATAGAAAAGTGTACTGCGAGTTATTTTTCAATTAGTATATTTACGAACTCATCGCCAATCCGACAAATTTATACGCTCAACAATTCCAATAACAGAATGGCCTCGATAAATGATGGGTTCCAGTTACAGCCTGAGAAATTCAGAAGTTTATCGGTGTATTGATTCATATAGGTGTAGTCCCCTTACCGACGATAAAAATGGATTTCCTCAGTGGCTACGTCTCATGTCCAATGGCCCGTGGCTCCATGACATACGACAGATTTCGTTTAATTCAGAAATACCTGCATCTAGCTGATAATACAAAAATGCCTGGACCTGATTCCTGCCTACGATTTATACAAGGTTCGCCCAAATTTGAATGTCGCGAGTAAATTTGAAGAACTCTACCGACCGGAATCTTTTCTGTCAGTCGATTAAACTATGATCCCTTACAAAGGGAAATTCGTTACCAAATACTACATGAGAGACAAACTACATAAATGGAGGTTCAAAATGTGGACATTGGCAGAAAGCAAAAGTGGGAATGTTCTATCCTTTTCCTTATCTGCTCTCAGCCAATAACGGTCCAAAAAGTGGTATTAATCCAATTTAAATGCAAAAAAATGAAGAAAACAAATGGTTGGTTTCCTTGTGCCAACGTTTCGAGCTCTCAAAGAGCTCTTCATCAAGTGAAATCTACATCCAGTTTAAAGATTGCTACAAGTATTTTCCGTGTGGAATTCATGATTTAAAATAAATTATAAATACCTAAATGTCCATCAGATGTAGTGGATTAGCAGAGTTCCAAAACTGAACCATTCCAATGCGGTTTACTATTCTATCCTGCCTTTCATAACCTAAGCATCAAATAATGAGTTAAACCAGAGAACTAATATCAGACCAATACCACAACGAAAACTAAAATCCAATGTTTCACTTGAGCTATTCGCTTAATTTATCAAGAATCATTATATCTTATTACTTGTTAATGGTGCGATCTAACCCTTTAAAGTCTTGATCATCATCGCAGTATACCCTAACCGGGTCGAAACGATGTAAAATAATGATTAAAAAAAGACCTTATCTAGGTAAAAAGGAAA